GTGTGTGTGTGTGTGTGTGTGAGACTGTGTGTGTGTGTGTGTGTGTGAGACTCTGTGTGTGTGTGTGTGTGTGTGTGTGTGTGTGTGTGTAGTTTCTAAACTGCCCCTGAAGGCAGTCTCCAAAGAAGAATGTGCTTTTTGAAATGGCAGTCTCCTCAGTATCAGTGGATAACCTCCAAGGTGACTGCTTTGCGAGGCAGCCCTCACTGGAATGGATATGTTTGATTTTGTACATTTCTTTAGAGTCCACTATATACTGATTAAACAATGAATGTCATGATTTGTTTGTGCTGGCCCATGGCATCCATTCCCAGATCTGATTTGTTTTTGTTTCTTTATATTGAAGCACAAATTATGATCTCATTTAGAAAAAAATTTTGGAAGTGATGACATAGTTTAGCAGGAGACATCTACCCACGAGTTGCAGTCAGGGTCTGTGGTGTCCAAAAAGGTCACTCAGTCCTGAGCTCTTTGGTGTCACTATGCCTTTCTTCAGAAAAGCTTTCTCTATCTTCATAGGACCATTGGCTTAGAATATGTGATTTCTGAAAAATTTTTTCTGGACCTTCAGGCTGCACATCTAACAAATATGCCACTTAAATATGAAAGTACTACATACCTTCCTATTCCATTAACGCATGTGTGTGAAGAGAAGGTATTTAGAATACACCCTCCTCCACTCCTGAAATCTCTGTCACTTGGCTCGTTTTGTGAATCATATTTGGATTGTTGCTTTCATTGTATATTCCTCATTCCACAGAGTTGACTAAAGAACTTGACAAACCCCGACCCAGAGATCTATAGTACTGAAGTTTGAAACATGTAAATTAATAGAAGTTTTGTTACATTATTCTTCAGTTAACTTAGAAGTGTATTAGAAGCTTATTCAACCAGTTATGCTATTCCAGCTAACATGTTGCATGGCCCGGTTAGAAGCATAGAGAGCTTGTCTACTATTTTCTCTTTATTTACAGATAATATGATACAGATCTTTATTTCTCATTCTCTTTCTTTTTTTTAGAAAACAGTTGGCATTTTCAAACTCAGTTTATAATTGTAGGATACCAAAACAGCTGAATAAAATACACATATTAGAGATTTTCATTGAATTGTACTTTAGAGTACTTATATCACAGAAGAAGAATGATCTTATTAAATCTATATTAAAAGAAAGAATGTATGAGTGTGATCCATGGCAGTTTAAGTTTTGTTATAGTGAAGACCAGAAAGCTTCCCAAATTCTTGTGTTAGATATTGCTTAAACCAAACTGGTCATTGAGTGACACTGGTGAATTTTTCCTAGTACATGAGGATTTTGCACAGTGATGGTCTTAGTTGTATTATCCTTGTTTCTTTATGTAGTTTGGTTCAAAGTTTTCACTCTCAAGAGAATCTTTTACCTTTCAGCATTTTAGATAATACACACACATGGACTCATCCGAAGGTAGAGGTGTCTGAGACATGGGGTTGAATGACTAATCTTAAACCATGGACTTGATTACCTGAGATAGGTGTATTTAAAAATAAAGCTATGACTGTTAGGTCTGTACATAAACATTAAATGGGAATGAAGTTATATAGCATTGCTGAAAAAGACTATAGCCGAGGCATGATTTCACACTTTTCCTCATTAAATCCTAAGGCTTCTTAATTTGTAACAACACACAATTTTTTCCAGGCTTTGATTAAAAATTTCATTTTATAAATCATTTACTTTATATTAATGTAGAGACAAAAACCATTTCTAGAGTATCTTCCTGGCTCCAGGAATCCACAATTTCATTAAATATCGATACCTCTGTCTCTTGGGCAACTCTAAACTGATAGCATGGTGGATGGAAAGAACTTTGTCGTTGAAGTCAGATAATCTGGAGATTAAAATTTTGTTCAATCACTCACTAGCTACATGAACTTTAGTTTCTCATCTGTAAATGTGGAAAAAAGTACTACTTAGAGAGTGACTGGAGGTGGGCTATTACAAATGTGGGATTAGTGAAGACCTGCCTTATTAGGTGACATTTGAACAGAGGCCAGAGTGGAGTGAGTCTGTGAGTCATGCAGATAACTGGAGCAAGTATGTTCCAGGCAGAAGCAAAAGCAAGTGAGAAGGCACCAAAGCACAAATGTACTTGATGTGGAAAACGTACGGTAGAGGGGCCGTTGTGATTGGAACCCTGTGAGCAAAAGGAAAAATACTAGGAGGTGATGAGGCCAGAGCAGTAACAAAGGTCCACTTTGTTTAGGGCCATTGTAATGACTGTGCCTTTTCCTCTGAGATGGGAGAAAGCCATTGTGGAGGTTGGAGCAGATGAGGGAAATTATCTGAACTTAAGTTTTTTGGGATCACTCTGGCTCTTGTGTTAAGAATAGGCAGTGGGTCATTTGTTTTGTTTCTTAAATCCCACATATGAGCAAAGGAAAAAAAAAGAGACAAACCAGGAAACAGACTCTAACTCTAGAGAACAAACTGATGGTTCCCAGAGGGGAGGTGGGGGGTGGGGGGCGAAACAGGTGATGGGGACTAAGGAGTGTACTTGTGATGAGCACCAGGTGTTGTATGGAAGTGGTGAATCACTATATTGTACCTGAAACTAATACAACACTGTATGTTAACTATACTGGAACTAAAAAAAGAAAGGAGTAGGTTACGGGGGCAGGCGTGAAAGGTGGAGAGTCCACTTGGAAAGCTATTGCAATAGTCAAGGCAATTAGATGGTGATGGGTTGCATTAAGGTGGACGTGGAAGTCATCAGTGTTCTGTAGGTAAAATAAGTTTTGCTGATGTGGGAGTGTGACAAAAAGATGTGAAGAGTCCAAGGTATGGCATTGTAACACATACAGTCATGGCTAAAATGATGGCTTATTACCATCATCATGTATTAAATTTATATCTGAAATCTGCCATCGTATTTTCCCAATCATTTATTTTCCTTGACAGTGTTTTCCTTTGGAAAAACTTGCTTGTAGTACTAACTTGTAGTTCCGAGAAGCCTGCCCTCCTACTCACTCCACTTCATCACTACCCCCCGACAAAAAAAATTAAAACTGGGAATTTACATGTAGTTGTTCTCTTACAATTCTGAAGCAAATGAAACTTTTCAAACACATATTTCCTTATGGAAAGAATTTCTCAGCATTGAGTTTGTAAGAAACTTTAGGAGGTTTTGAACCCAAGTATATGGTTAGTTCGTGATAACTGTGATGAGTTTTGCTCTGTTCTCCCTGCAAAGCTTACAGTATAGTAGAGAATTACTAGTGATGAGTCTTGTTTGATTCAAAATGCAGTCTGAATTTTGTGCAGAGGCTCTTATCCTTCCCTGTGCCCTATGCAGTTGAACAGTTTTCTAATGCATGTTTAATGTGAATGTCTCTGCCAACAAAAAGATATTTCTTGCCCAGATTATCAGTAAATGTCATAGAGTGGAGTAAATTCCTTTACTTTTTTTTTTTTTTTTTTTTTTTTGCATGACTGAGGCTTGCCATACTAATATCCGTGGGACAACTAATAGGTATTTGCAAACTTGGCTTTTGAGAAACCTCCTTAACTTTTCACTGGTATTTATCCTTGCTTCATTAAGCTTTGAGTGCCTTGATCCTTTCTGCCTTGTGTAATAAGAAGAGCAAATGCCAAAGATTTACACAAATAACGTGATGTTGATAATGTTTTCAGATCTCTGCCCTTTATCTAACTACAGAGCAGGATCGTTGGAATGATTGTTACATTCACTTTTTTTAGTTGATGGTCAATTATAGGGCATTAATTGTCACTATCACGTTCCTTAAAGAACGTAGTTAATTAATAGGAAACTAATTGCCAGTATTTCCATCCAAGGGAATGTACACTCTCAAAAGACTGCTCACTTTGAATTCTTTTATGTGTCAAGGCTATCCTTTATTCTTCTACCAATGAAAGAACTGGTGAGCCATGGCACTTTGTACCTCTTGTTAGGGTCTTGTTGTATACTTGGCATCATCATTTTGTGTCTTGTCTCATCTGCGTTACTGAACTATGTATTCATTAAAATTAGAATTCATGTCAGGATCATCATTTTTAACCCTTCTAAGTACTTAGTAAAAAAAAGAAATTGATAAATTACTTTAAGTAGAATGTCCACAGTGAGGAAACTGGCCCAGTAGCAAGCCAAGTGCTCCTGATACAAATTGGACTTGAGGCAGCCGTGGTGTAGCGGAGGGAGCAATGGACATGGAGTTAGTTGGATGGACTTGGGTATGAATCTTATCTCTGAACTTCTGGCTTCTCATTGATTAGACAAGCCTTAATTTCCTTGTGAACAAAATAGGAGATAATTCTTCCTCTCACAGGGCATTATGTAAACTAGCACAGTGTCTGGCATAGAGCGGTTGTTAATCGTGTGTTAGGCAAATGAATGAATGAGTGGTCTCCACTCACCAAAGGTAACTTGGTTTGGTACCTAAAGTTTATTTTATAACTAAACCAATAAAAGAATTTTTATTGAAAAAGTTAAGTTTAATAAAAAATATATTTCTTTTGGGAAGTAAATTTCTTATTGAGTGACTTTCATTGTCAAAATTTATTGCCTATTAATTTCATAATGTTTTGTTTGCTAAATTAAGGTATTATTTCTGCCCTGAATCAAGTCATGCTTTTTCTTGATTGAGATAGGATCCATCTGCTAATTTAAGCATTGGCTAACTCATAGGCTGGCTTCTACAAATGGGCCATAAAAATATATTTCTGAATTTTGACTGTATATTATTAATATTAATCAGTTAAAAAATGACTTGAATTTTTGGTTCATCACCCAAAACCATTATTCAGCTACAAAGAATACTTTGTTTATTACTTTGTTCCTATCACATTAAAAACTCATTACTTAACTTAATGCCTTATATTCAGTTTATCCTTGTGTCACCTTATTTCAGCTACATGGTACAGCATTATTCATTCATTTAACCAACATTTATTGAGTGCTCACTTGTGCCAAGCTGTGCTCTAGGTGTTGAGGATGTAACAGTGAATAAGACAGCCAAGGTCTGTGTTCTACTGCAATTTACATTTTACTGAGGGAGACAGATAATCAACAGGTAAACATATACTGTAATGTCAGGTAGTGATGCGTGTGCTATGAAAAAAAGCAGGAAGATAATGTCAGGAAACTGGTGCTGTTTAAAAAACTTTTGAGTAGAGAGTTGAATGAATAAGGGAAAGCGTCATTATAAATATCTGGGAAACAATGTTTCACACTGAATGAAGAGCAAGTTTAAGGGCCCCAAGGTGAGTATTTGCTTGTTGTTTTTGGAGATGAACAAGTACTTTGGCTTTTGCTTTGAATAACTTGGGTAGCTGGTAGAAAATGTTAGGTAGAGGAATAACTTGACCTGACTTATGTTTTAAATGAAACACTGTAACTGCTTTGTGAAGAATGGAGTGGGAGATGGGGTGTGGCAAAAATAGTTGCAGGGAGACCAGTTAAGTCTGTTTGTAGTAATCCAATCTAGAGATAATGGTTTAGCCCATGTGGTGAAAAGTGGACCAATTCTGCCTGTATTTTGACTGTTATTACTAACAGAGTTTGCTGATGAACTGGGTTTGGGGTTTAAGAGGAAAAAGACAAGTCAAGGACAAGCACTTGGGTAAATGGTGGTGCCTTTTACTGAAATGCAGAAGACTGAGGGAGGAGCATGTTTTGTGAGGGAAAAGATCCAGGTACAGTGTTTTGAAGATCTTAAAATTGAAATCCTACTAGACATCTAAGTTATCTAGAAGAGTTCAGAGAGAAGTCTGGACCAGAGGTGGGAAGATAGATGGTATTTAATAAGCCAGAGCTGGAAGACACCACCCAGGGAGGCAGTACAGTAAAAGCAGTCTAATGACTAGGCCCTAGCCACTCCGATGCCAAGTAGTCAGAGAGGGGAGAAAGCTCCAGCAAAGAAAACTGTGAAGGTGTAGCCTTTGAAGCAGAAAGATACCCATATTTGTATGGCATCCTGGAAGCCAAGTAAGCAAAATGATTCAAGAAGAAGGAGGGATTCATTCTATCGAATGCTGCGATGTCAGGTAAGATGAGAATTGACCGTTGGGTTTGGCAATGTGGAGGTCACTGGTGACCTTGGCAAAAGTGGAGTGGTTAGGGTAAAAATCTAATTAGCGTGGTTTCAAGGGAGAGTGAGAGCTGAAGAAATGAGAGGCAGCAAGTATAGTTCCTTTCAAAGATTTTTGTTCTGAAGTAGACCAGAGAAGGGCTGGGGGAGAGAGTGTAGGGTCAAAGAAGGTTTTGGATTTGGGGAATTTTGTGTTGTTTTTGTTTTTAAGATGACTGATACTATAGCATCTCTGATCAAGCATTTGCATGCTCTGGGAAAGACCTGGTAGAGAGGGAAAGCTTGACGCTGTGGGGAACAGGGAAATTTCCGGAATGATGTCCTTGACTAGTTGAGAGAGGATGAGAGGCAGTGCACTAGTCTTCGTTGGAAGCTTATTCATTGGAATAGGAGAAAAAGTAGGTTTCTAACCACAGAAACAGATAGGTTGGTACCTTTGATGGCAGGAAGATACTGATGTTTCTTTTACTTTTTCCTTTTAATTGCAATAAGAAATGAGATCCCCAGCTGAATATGAGGAGGATGAAAGGAGGGTTGGAGGTTTGAAGGAGGAAAAGGCAAGTCATGATCACACTGAAGAGCAGACGATTTCCAGACAGATCTGAGTGCCCATTTAAAATAATATATGGTTGTGGGTTTTTCGCCATAGACATGCAGTTGCTTGGGTGAAGGTATAAGGTAGATGAAGAGTTGAAATGAACCAGAGTTGGGATTTTCCCAGGCAGATGTGTCAGAGAGAAAGAGAACATGGCAGTGATTATAATGATCCACCAAGGAATCTGAGCTGGGTAAGGAGGGATGTGACAATTTGCAGGAGATAATGCCCAGTGAAAATGTGATGGGAATGGACTGGAGGTGTCAGTGTGTGGAATAGTTTTTGGGGAGGTGAGGTACTTGTATGAGTGCACTGGAAAGGGACGAGGTAATGGGCATAGAGTGGGGTAATGAACCGGGACTTGTAGAAGTACAGTAAGTAGCCGACGAGAAGCTGACTGCAGGTAAGGAGGTGGAGGAAGTGAGCGGTAGTAGTAGCACGTATAACAAAATGTATTTTCTCTCCTTCTCAAGAATGATATCGTGGGTAAAAAGTTATTAAGTCTTCTGCCTGATCATGAGAGAAACGAAGTCTTTGGAAAGATTGCTCTCAAACTTCCTTTGTCAAACTCAGGTACAGATTGTTTCTTCTCAATGGTAAACTCTTAGATTTTAAGAGACAAGTAACAGTCACTTGGAGGAATAATAAAAATAAAAACACTGGGGCCAGTATAGCGGCTGATTATATATTAATATAATTTCACAAATTATATTTCCAGTATTAAAAAATTTCTCCTCCATTAAATCTTGTTCTTTCTCATGAACCCTGATAATCTCAGCTTTTGTATAATTGCATTAGTGTTATATAAGTAATGTTCTAGCTTGTACTCCACTCTACAGATACAACATAAACAGTATGCAAGTGCTAATGTTCCTGGAGAGAAAATAATATTTTTGTAAAATCTGTTCTAAGTAAGACAATAGTCCTATGAAATAATCCTGCAGAATATGGTAACGTACAATTGTAAACTTGTTTTGTATCTGTTTTTTTTTTCCTTAGTGGGAAAACATATTGATTTTTGCTGTCATCTAAAGAGAGGAAATGTTGAATATGATAACAGACCTACTTATGAATATGTGAAATTCATCCTGACAGTCAAAGATATTTCAAGTGGTAAGCAGTTAAGCTTTTAATCTGATCTAGACGAAGTTAATGCATTACCTAGCCCTTCATTGCTAACACAAACGCCCTTCCACTGTTGGTTCTCTCACATTCTCTGATATCCCTATGAGCACAGGTTTTGGTTATAGACATTAATCAGACTTTTAAAAAAGAATGCCATGATAAAAAAAAAAAGGTAAAGTAGACAATAAGGGTGCAGACATTAATGGATTACCAACAAAAGGACCAAAGGAAATCTCTGATAAAAAGAAAGAGTAAAGTGATTGTTCCAAAGGATCTCATTGTTTTAAAAATGGACCTGATAATACGAAGCACCTTGCTTGTAATTGTCTCTGATCTTTTTCTCTGAGACAAGAATTCGGGATAGATAGCTTAGACTTACCTGACACTAATCGGAAAATACATGATGTTATATTTAAAGTATGTTTAGTTATATTTAATGATCTCATTCCTCAGTTCCTTGTTCATTAAAGTAGCTTTCATTTCTGCTATTGCAGTTATGAATAAATAGAAGGTTTGTGCCAGTAGACACTGCTACTAAATCGGTACCCCAAAATCCTTGGGCCTCTAGCTTTTTTGTTCAGGCTCTTTGAATTTGAGCAGAGTGCAGTGAGACTGTGAAACAGCAGTGAGACTGTGCAGGGCAAGGAAAGGGGATTTTGGGACATGATGAGCACTTGAAACATAAAGATATAATTGCTGTCCAGCACAATGAAGCAGCTTACTTATGCAAGTTGTAATTACTGTTTATCGCTCTGAGGAAGGTGGAAAAGAGAGGGAAATAGGGGAAACTCCTTTGAAAAATGGAATCCTTTTTACAGGAATACCTAACATATGTTATAAAATTCTAATCCTTATTGCATTCCTTCTGTTCTTAAAAAGTATATTAGATATTCAGTTTAAAACATAGTGAAATTTGCAAGGTAGGGTCACATGGTAACATGGTGGATTGAGCTAATAAGAATGACTCTTTCCTTCTATAAAAACCAGGAAGCGATTCTTAAAACATAACAAAAGCAGTTTGATGCATAGCCAAGCTTAAAGAAAAGGGACGTCCATGGGTGCCAGAAATTAAAGGATTAAGTACAAGACTCTCATGGTAACAGGAGGCCTAGGTGGTGTCCTAAGTGGGCTACATAAATCATATGTGGGCTCCATTGGCTGGGGTCTGGAGTTCTAATAGTCATTCAAGGACCAACACATAAAACCTAGAGACTTCAAATGATCGGTAAAATTCTGTCCCCTGGCCTAGGGGAAGAATAAGTTTGCCATCTCCCTCAGAATTTGAATGGAAAAAAAATGTGTCATTTACAAGAAATCAAAACCCAAATCTGTGTTGTGTGGAAACCCAAATCTGTGTTGTGTGGATACAGGGTCCAAATTTACAAATTTTAAGGTTTCAGGAACTATAGGCTGAGAAATGACATGAACACTGATTTGGGGCCATTAAAACATCTAGGGCTTGAACCAGAGGTAAATGGCCCAACAAATATGTAAAAAGATGCTTAAACTCACTAGTAAGCCAAGAATGAAAAATTTAAAAACCAGTGAGATAGCACTGTACACCCATCAGCATGACAGCAATCAGGCAGTGTGAATAATAAGCACATATTGGCGAGGGGGTGAGAACTAATACAGTGTTGAGAGGAATGTAAACTCATGAAACATTCCTGAAACACAGAGTGAACTTAAATTATGTTAATTATCCTGTGACTCAGCAATCCCATCACTGGGTGAAAATATACCAGAGGCGAACTTACAGAGAGATCTGTGTCTAAGGGGACATGTACTATGTACGTCATAGTGTTGTTTGTGGTAGGAGGGAGTTGGAGACAGCCTAGGTATGCATTGTTAGGGAAATGGACAAGTAAAATGTGGGAAATAGACGATATGGAAAACTTTGAAAGCAGTGACCTCTAGGTATACATACTACAACATGGTTAAATCTTAAAACCATATTGTTGACTGTAAAACATAAGAAACAGAATGAAATCTATACTGCAATGCCACCTTTGTAAATGGTAAACACATAGACATAAAACCAGACTACATATTTTACAAGTTTTTATATTAAAGGTGGTAGATGGCAAAGGGTGTCTGTGGGTGGAGAAGAGGCAGAAAGAAAAACAAGAGTGAGGACTTAATCTATGTTCATTATATGCCATGGACTAAGTGTAATTAACTCAGTTCTTTGCCACTGAGGTCTAAAAATATAGCGAGCGAGTGAGTAAATGAGTGAGTAAATAAACAATGAAAATGAGCTCACACAATGGTTGTCTGATATGTTTGTCATGTGTCTTGGAGATTAAGGGTCAGATGCTTTTAAAAAACTTACTTGACTATGTACACACACAAATTACACACGTATTTAATACCCGTGTGGGCTACATAAAAGAGAAGAGCTAACTTTATCTTTTAGAGACTACAACATCCATCCACAGAGTAAGAACACAAGGCTGAATATCACCCTGAAGTCACAACAGTTATTTCTCAGTAATGACTTCTTCACATTTTGGTGGAGACCTGGGTGAGGAGGGTAGCTGGTACAGCAGGATGGCAGGAAAAATCTGTGGCTCAGAATTCTGAAAATTGTCAGTGGACTAACAGCCCACTGACGTGGCAGATGTTCATCTTGTATAGCCAGCCTGCTTTTCTATTTGACTGTCACATGTGTGTCTCTGTCTCCCTTAGAGCCTTTGGTGCTCTTCAGCAGCTTCTTCCCAAGCCACTCCTATGCTGAATCGTCTCCTACATACCTTCCTCTGGAGGATCGATTTTATCTGGTGGGGTCCATTTGTCTCCTCAGGGCTCAGACCCTACGAGTGAGTATGTTGTGTGTGCGCCTTCCCTACTGTGGCATTGTGGGCTTCCTATGAAAGGCCATGTGCCCTTTGGTCCCTCGGCTACTGGACAGCATTGCTGAGGAGCCCGATGTGTGCAAGGGGTTGTGCTAAGCAAGATGTGTGAATGAGGAAAGATCAGCCCCTGTGCTTCAGAAGGTGAGCATGTCAGTGGAGAGTTCAACACACCCAAAAGAGATGTACAGTTATTTACAAGTGGTTTTGTTGTGATATGAAAGAGGTGTACGGGGGCTGGGGGTGGGATATATTTAGAGAAGTGACCATTTGGGGAGGTGGATAAAGGAAGGTTTCTGTCACGAGGTGAGTTTTGAGGCAGCTCTCCCCAGTGCCTACCACCACTGTTCACCTAGTAGTCTACTAATATAGCACTCCCAGGTTCTATCTCTAAAAAGAAAAATCAGACTTTAGAATTCATTGGGTAGATTCAAGTTCAATGAATTTATTCACCAAGTAACGTACTAAGTAAGCACCTATGATGTGCCAGGTGCTCTGCTAGGTTCTGGAGTAATATTAGGGGAAATAAACAATAGACAATATTGAAAAGTGCCACGGGGATGATAAAACAATCATATACTAATGACTGGTGGGAATAGGAAGTTCAGACAGAGTGGTCATGGAAGGTCTTTCTCTGCTGACCTCTCTTTTGAACCGAGACCCGCAATGATGATGTCAACCCAGCAAAAAAGGAAGGCAATCTCGCTAGAGGGCTCAGCAGCTGTAAAAGTCCTGAGGCAGTAATGAGCTTGGAGAGTTCCAAGGAACAAATACCGTTACGTGACGAGAAGAAGGGGAAAGAGGGAAGGAGTAGTAGAAAATAAGAGGTAGACAGAGGCCAGGTTCTGGAGTACTTTGAGAACCATGATCATGAGTTTGAGTTTTACTCAAGTGGAGTGGAAAGCAGGATGACATGATCTGATTTCATTGTTGTTGTTTTTTAAAAGATTAGGCTGGCTGCTGGGTGGGACATGGAATCTGGGGGAAAAAGAGTGGAGGCAAGAGGGGTGCTAGCAGGGCTGATGGGGCCCTGGCTAGGACTAGAGGTACAACAATTTGGGTTATCCCTGGGAAGACGGGGCACAAAGTCCTTGCTGATGTGATGAAAGTGGGTGGGAGAAGTGAGAAAAACGACTCCTAGCTTTTAGGCCTGAGCAGCTCAGTGAACGGAAGTGCCACTAACTGACTTGAGCCAGACAGGGCCACTATGGATCGGGCAATGTGGGAGTGGGGGGGGGGGCGCGAATCAAGAGCCATGTTAACATTATGATAAATTGTGACATACAACACATCCAACTGCCTTGCGAGAAAGGCCTCTGGATCCAGACCAGTTGCAGGACCTCATCCAAGTCACTTATGTCTTGTAGCTTCAGTTTCTTTTTGTATAAATGCTGAGACTAGAACCTCCTTTTAGGGTTGTTGTGAAGAGTGAATAAGATGGCACCTCATGCATGGTAAGCACTTGGGAAAGAGGTGGCAGAGAGGAAAAGTAAACAATCATCATTCTCATTATTATTGTGATCATTAGGATCCAGAGAGGGCAAAAGACCTGCTTTACTTTTCCTCTCTGGTTTAGAATGCCGACTTTAACTGACTACATTTCGGAAACTGTGAAGGACCCCTTTACATTCAGTTGTAGAGCAGTGATGTACGTCATCATTTTTCCAGATTTAAGGCCGTGAGAAAAGTGGCAGAGAGAAAAGCAATTGAAGGAAATTGCTTGGTCTGATTGCCCCAATCATTATGCCTCTCTGGCAGCTCTCTGAGATTTGAGCTCTCATATTTGCCACGAGAAGGCAGACATCCCATTTTGGGGGTCCTCCGAAAGCTACTCCCTCCTCCAAGAAAAAAAAATCTCATTTGGCACCCTTCTCTCCCCCTCATCCCCCTCATGGCACAAGGATCCCTATTTGTGATCTATTGCAATTTTCCTCTGGGTTTCTAGGATATTTGTTCCATATTAGTGGTCATTTTGGAGAACAAATCTTGTGAGAACAGAGGGCTTTTTTTTTTTTTTTTAAAGATTTTATTTACTTATCGGACAGAGAGAGAAAGAGCACAAGCAGGGGGCGCAGCAGGCGGAGGGAGGGGGAGAAGCAGACTCCCCGCTGAGCAGGGACCCCGATGCGGGGCTCGATCCCAGGACCCCTGGCATCATGACCTGAGCCAAAGACGGACGCTTAACGACTGAGCTACCCAGGCGCCCCTACTGTCCTAACAGAGGGCTTTTTGAAGGAAGATTTTTTTTTTCACAGTGTGACTGGAGCACAGTGGACAAAGCAGGGAACTCAGAGTACAACTGGGAGATGGATCTACTTTGATCTTGAATCTACTAGCTGTGCATCTTGGGCCAGATCATTACATGTCTATAATCCTCACTGTTCACATCTGTAAAATCAAGTGCCTTTCCCACATTGCTCTGCAGATTAGCTGTGATACTGGATATGAGATTGCTTCCAAATTTACTACATGCTATACAAATGTGTTGGGTATTTTTACTATATAAGTACATTTTAAGTATCTAAAATGCCAGTTTTTCTGCAGGAAGTTTTCACTGTAAAGAAACCTGGGGAAGAGGTTCTGCTGATACAAGACTCAGATGATGAGGAGCGTGTATCTCCTGAACGCAGGTGAGAGGCTCATGCTGAAGTAAATGATGGAGACCTAGGGCACACTTTCACTAAAAAAACAGAAACGAGAGAAATAATATCTACACATATTTTCCCTTTAAAATGAAAAAACAGACAATTGAATCCAGAAGAGCAGTCTACTAGGCTGAATTCCTTTGCCCAGCTAATAAAAATCTTACTTCTCCAGGTAAATATAAATACAAATGATTGGCTTTTTATTTTTTTAAAAAAGCACTTTCAATTTAAGACAATGCATTTAAAAGTAGCACGTGATTACTTCTTTTTCTTGAAATACTTTTAAGTGGTAGAACAGCAAGTAGGCATTGTGGCAAACTATTAGGTGTCCCCCTTTTTGTGAATATAATCTGTTTCTTAACATTTGTTAACCAAGTTTCAGAAAATGGACGCAGTGTTCCATGGTTCTTGAGAGAAAAGAAACATAAAAATGCATTCCTAACCCACAGGAAAATGCCAGTTGACCAGATATCACTAAAACCCCTTCTTACACTATTTAACAATCCACCAAGGATTTCTACAAAACAGAAATTGTTTGTGGTACTACCTAGTTATTTAATACTTGATAAACTCATTGGTGGGTATGTCTGTATGTAGAAAACCATAATACTTGACACTGTGCAGTGTAGAGTATCGAGTGTGGATTACATTTTCTTCTGCATCACAGTGTATATGTACATGTAAATAAATAGCAAAATAATATATTAAAGATGTGCACCACATGCCAATAATACTTAGCAAAATAAAATAAACAAGATAACTTCTCAAGAGGTTTCTTATGATTAAAGACATGTTTGTGTGAGGTCTGGTGGTGAGAGGAGGGAGCTGGAGGCTGTGGTCACTGTTGCTATTTGGTGGTGGGGGGTGGTAAGGAAGAAAGAGCTGGTGAAGAAATGAATTAAACAGGAAATGTCTGATGTTCATCTGTGTCTGGATCTATGCAACGGGGGGAGCATCTTCCCTTCCTGGCAGGAGAGTTCAGAGGTGTTTGGCTGTGAACCTTTGTCTGAAGCTACACACAGGGCAATGGGATGGAAAGCAGAGCTCCCTCCCCATGGCAGTCTGTTTGCATTCCATGGGCTTGGTGTCCTACAACTCTCGCTAACATGAGACTGCATTTGTAATTGTGTGAATGTGACAAGTCTGCTCATGCCAGGATCACACTCACTTGCACCAGCGAAACTTTATTTTTTTTTTGGAATCTCCAATTTCTTGTGAATATTCAGCATTGTATTTGTAGTTTGTAGGTGTTGGGGACAGGACGAGTGCATGGCTAAGCTTAAGGCCAAGCACATTCAACTCTCTCCATGTGCGTTATCCCTCCTGGTTTTTCTTGTAGTGCATGTGCTTATTTAGGGTTTTTAAACGTGACCATTTCCTTCATTAGTTTCTCTACTTTATTAGAAGACCTTTTACTGAATAATCTGGGGAAAGGGATATTTATAAAACATAACATGTTTAAACAACATGAGGGGCGCCTATGTGGCTTAGTTGTTAAGCGTCTGTCTTTGGCTCAGGTCATGATCCCGGGGTCCTGGGATCGAGCCCCGCATCGGGCTCCCTGCTCCGCGGGAAGCCTGCTTCTCCGCCTCCCACTCCCCCTGCTTGTGTTCCCTCTCTCGCTGTGTCTCTCTCTGTCAAATAAATAAAATCTTTAAAAAACAAAAACCAAAAACCAAAAACACATGTTTAAACAACATGAACTCAAGACCCTCTCCTATCAGGAGAATATCTGAGATACAATAGCAGCGAACCACATGGGTAATCAATTTGTTATCCATCAAAAGATCATTGTAGCAAATATCGGATAGTGAGAGTTCAGAGAGTGAGGAAACCTGTGTTTTACTTTTAAGTAGAGTTTAATTGGATGAAAAATATTCTGTTGCAGAAGCAAGCCAGCTACTGCATCTATGCCACTGATCTACATAGAATATAAAAGAAGTGTTTTCTTAAGGCTTAAGACCGCTTCTTATATTGTAAGAAATTATCACTCCAGTGTAGATGAATGCACTATAGTTTTGTATGTTCTGTACTTCCATAAAATGTTACTAAAGTTTCTTCAAAAATTATGCGATGGATTATTTATCATGTAGACAGTAAGATGGAAAAATGACAGTTAGGACAGAGCTGAAGGATCTGATGAAGAAATTCTGTTTAATTCCAGCCCCTCTGTCCTTTTCATATCCCTCCCCTCTCCTCCAACACCATGGTCTCCGCTCTGCTCTGCTCTCAGCCACCTCAGCTCTCACATGATGGATTGTTGGTAGACCTGGCTCGTCCACTGTATTGAGGTCTGTAAGGGAGGACCTGTCAGCCTTGTCCCTGTCTGGCACAGAGCCTCACACTGAGTAAGCAGAAAACAAACATCTACTCAGGGACCGACTGATTGATTGAGCCTATATCAAAATCGTAATCCATTCCATGCCATGAGACCTCTCAAACATAATGCAGTATTGTTATAAATCGGTGCAAACTAGTATTGCCTTATTTTTGTCATAGACTCGTGCCTTGTCCTCAGGGTATTTTTAAATAATAAGAAGGAGAAGAGATTGCGGCATGTCAGGGTCATAGTTTGCAGTCGTTGGTAATCTGGCTCCCATTTTATAGACTGAGGGATGGTTAGAAAAGTAATCAGGCACAGAAGTCATAGGGACCCTAGGGACCAAAGTTCTTCCGGAAGTTTTCTTGGTAATTCTACACGTTCTTTGAAAAGTAAGACGCATTTTGCTAAGAGGCTTGAAAGCTTTGTCTGTGCTTACGAAAGAAACACAAAGAGGGGAATTTGAGATGTTTAGAAGAAAGGATCTGTTTCCATAGAGGATATCTTGTCCTTGCATGTTTCAGATTTGAGGCTAAAGAACTTTTCATTTCAGGAGAGGGACTCAAGGGTTGGGTTATTTTCCATTAAAGCTACAGATGCACTGGAGTGGAAGGTCTTGTTTGCTTGGACCACTGAAGATAGAAAGAAGTAAGGGCTACTTGAAAGTCAGTGAGGGGAAGACCAAAACTGGAATACTGTGTAGCCCTCTCCTATGTGTCTCCTGCTAGAGTCGGAAGGATATACCTAGCTACTCGTTCAGTTGGGCCAGTGGTACGTAGAGGTAAGGCCCAAATTCCCACTGTAGCGTCATCTCAGTACAGATGCATTCTGTACTTTATCCTTCACATTAGGATTTCATGCTCCTTAACTTAGTTATAAACAAATCTATAAAGTAGATTTTAGACCTGTTGGAATATAGTCCACAGAGGATATGTGATTTGCCCAAACTCACACAGTTGGTTCCACAGTAGAGCTGGAATTGGGACCCAGATTTTCCTGGGCTTATTCCTGTCAGGACATGAATTTCAGGAGCTGTGGCTAGTATGGGATTCCAAGGAGAAAACTCAAGGAGTCTTTAGGAAGTCCTTGTTTGGGGATGTTATTGAAAGAAATTTTTTTTTCCTTTAATTTCACCTTAAATGTAGAGGAGAGAACAATTAATAGAGAGGAGACTGTGATGACTAACCCTAACACTGTTGATGAGGACAGCATCTTCTCATCCTCAGGTAGAGTAAAGAACACAGGAAAATCAAATGGCAAGCGTTTCCAAGGGTTCTAGCAGCTCTTATATTTGCTTGCAGTCTTCAAAAACTGCTGCAGTGCTGGAATTGGTCCCTGAGGAGACTCCACCTGTCAGCAGCTGCACCAAAAAGAATGTTCCTGCCTAATTCCCCTTTCACCTTGTGTCGGTGAGGAGTTACGTTGTACAAAGGTGGGAAGAGAATTTTATAAAGATGTATGATGATTCTAATTAGCACACTTTTTTAAAAAGATTTTATTTATTTCTTTGAGAGAGAGAGAATGAGAGCTAGAGAGGCACGAGAGGGAAGAGGGTCAGAGGGAGAAGCAGACTCCCCGCTGAGCAGGGAGCCCGACGTGGGACTCGATCCTGGGACTCCAGGATCATGACCTGAGCTGAAGGCAGTCGCCTAACCAACTGAGCCGCCCCGGCGCCCTAATTAGCACACTTTTGTTGTTTGGAGCCTTGGTACTATTCTATTCTGACTTCATTCCTCCTGTCGGCCCCATCTTGAGCGCGGGAAGGGCCTTGCGCACCACTGTATCACAGGCTCTTCGATTGGGCGTCTCTACCACCAAGGAGGTAGCTTGCCAGTCTCATCATTCTTTTCCCACTGAAACTTACTCAGACCACAAATATTTAGCACCTACTCTGTGGGAAGTTCTGTTTTAGGCTCTGAGGACACAGCAGTGAACAAAAATCCTTAACTGCTAGAGCTTACATTCTAGGGGAAGAGAAAGATAATACATCAATCAATAGACCAGAGTAGGTTAGATGGTGAGGAGGGCCAAGGGAAAATGTTAAGCAGTGAAGAGGGATAGGGAAGGTTGTCGGGGGAGGTTACATTTGATTTAGGTTTTGCCATATGCAGTCGACATTTTTATCAGTTAAGAGATGGTGCCATGTTGGCAGTTCCCAATAGTGTCATGTAATAAGTAGGGTGGCCAGCTCAGCTCTCCACAAGACACCTTGTCACAACCTCTTGAAGCCTCAGTCAAGGCTCCCTGCTCTCCCTGTGCAAGTTACGTGGCTAATTTTACTCCACACTGCCTGCCGTCATCTTTGGCAAATAGTGTGAAGGTCTTGTGGCGTAGTCCTACTTTTCTTTTCTTTTTTTTTTTTTTAAAGATTTTATTTATTTATTTGAGAGGGAGAGAATGAGAGATAGAGAGCACGAGAGGGGAGAGGGTCAGAGGGAGAAGCAGACTCCCCGCCGAGCAGGGAGCCCGATGTGGGACTCGGTCCCGGGACTCCAGGATCATGACCTGAGCGGAAGGCAGTCGCTCAGCCAACTGAGCCACCCAGGCGCCCAGTACTACTTAAAAAAACCCATAGGATTGGGATTTTTAAACTACAGTATTTGGGTTTTATTTCTCAGCTTGTGTGATCTTGGAGAAGCTTCCTTGAGTCTCAGGTTCTTTATCT